GTGTATGTTAGACTTGTTGCCCCACAGATATCTGTGGTCCTTTCCCCAGCCCCCACACCCCCCCCTCTATTATTTTCTCTCTGTTCTTCAGATTGGATACTTTTTATTGATCTGTTTTTAAGTTCACTAACTCTTCTGCATCTCCAATCTGCTACTAAGCCCACTCACTGCATCATAGTGTATTTCTCTGTTGAGATATACTGTTTTTTAATTCATCACCATCATAGCTATTTTGAAATCCTTGCTCGCTAATCCCAGTATTTGGAGCAACTCAGGGTTGGTTTCTGTTGATTGACTCTTCTCTTGAGAATGGGTCATGTTTTCCTATTTCTTTATATGCTGAACAGTTTGGGCTTGCATCTTTGGCATTGAGTATGGTATATTGTAGAGACTCTGGATTGTGTTACCATCCTCCAAAGAACATTGAATTTTCTTTGTTTTGCTAAACTTTGTTCCCCTGCAGTGAATGGCAGCTTAAATCTCAGTTCAGTTCTTTTAGCCCTAACTTGGCTGCTTGGGGTCTGTTCCATGTGTGCGTGGTTCAGGGATTAGCCAGAGATTTGGGCAGAGTTCATACACAGAGTTTGGGGCACCCCTTTTCTGGGTTTCTCTAGAATTTCCCTCCCTCACTTCCCAGTTGCTGTGGTTGCCTTAAAGTCTGCCCTCTTGTTCAAGTGAGTAAGACTAATGGGTTTTTATCTGAATTTTAGCTACCTCTCAAGGCATAGACTGGGACCTGTTTGGCCACAAGCCATAAAAAAAGGGACACTTACTGGTGGTGTTACCTTCTTTCAAGTGACTCTCCTTCCTCCTTCCTAATCTGCCTGCTTTTCGTTCTCTTCTATCTTCAGGTAGTTGTTTTTTATATTTTGTCCAGAGTTCATAGTTATCTGCAAGAGTTGGTCTCATAGGAGCTACTCTGCCATGACTGGAAGCAGAACCTCCATCAGACTAGATATAAATTATTTTGTTGACAAAGTCAATTTTTTTCAGTTATAGTTTCATAGATATTTATATTATCCTCCCCACCTTCTCCAAGGGATCAGATATAAAAATGCCATTACCTCTTTTTTTTTTTAACTTCGAATTTTATGTAAAGCTCCTTAAGTGTATCTCAGCTCTGACTACTGATAGATTTAGAAATTGAAATACTCCTTTTATTTGGTATAGCTAGTCCAAGATGTGGGTATAACAAATATGTCCCATAAACAATTTCCTAGGAAATGATGGTTACTTTTATTTTGCTTGAATTTAAGCTAACACTATGATCTGGAGAAGCATTGTGTAGTTCAACATAAACTAGGTCGAGATTTGACCATCTTGGGTCTTTTTCAGTAGCTACTTGAGTCATGCCTTTTCATATCTGCTCTACCATTTCAAAACTATCACTGTTTCCCACAGATGGAATACGTTTAATACAAATGTGCAGCTTTGAAATTTTGGTGAACATTTTCTGGTGACCTTTCAGATGACTTCAGACAAGTTTTGATTTTTTTTTTCTTTTCTTTTTTAACTTGTTCACGTGTGTGTATGTTAGAGAGAATCTTGCATCCAGTCAACATAGGCTTCTCATGATAGGAAAGGAGAAAACAGTGTTGTCCTAATTTGGGTCAGCATCAACCTAGAAAGTTATTTAGTAGTGCATATATTTTATTTTAGACTGTGTAAAAACTTGCCCATTTAGGTTAATCTGTAAGTGGTCAAAATGTTTCCTGCCCAAATTAGTAGAAACACTTAAGAGCTACGGTTTCTAACTTTTTTGGGTCATGGGACCCTTTGACAATCTGATGAAAATTGTGTTCTCTCTCCAGAAAAATGCACATATCTTCATACAGAATTTTATAAATCATTTCAGAGAGTTTTAGAGTTTCTTTGAAGCTTCTCAGTGTAAGCATCCCTCATTTAGGGTTATTCGAATCAAGCTAGTACTAACAGACTAATAGCAATACAAATGTCAGTTTGTTTCTGGCTTGGTCAAAGCAGAACAAGTAAACAAAGAACCTATTAGAAGTGCTTGTAAAGCACGCAGGCTTTTAAAAAAATCTGTTGTGATTTATCTGAACTCTTCTTTCCTGGGGGCAGATTCACAAAGATAGACCAACACCTAGTTGACTAATTTTTAAGTTGCTGTTAGAAATGGGCCTTAGTTCTGATATCCCGACCTGCTGACGTTTGTGTACTCTGTATGTGTTGGGCAAATAATTAGTTGTTGTTTCTAGGACAATAGGACAGTTGTGGTTGTGATGTCTTATTCCTAATATTGTTTGAATTTCTAAAGGTGTAAATAATTGAGGATTTAAGGGACCTGTGACACATGTACAGGTTTCAGGAGGTAGGGCTATGTAGGTGTTCCTGAGGCAGTAAGTCTCTACTGCTTCTTCTCATAACTCAGCCCTCAGTAAATGATGAAAGATAGAATTGTTTTAATGAAAAGATCCTAGGTTTGTGAATCTCCCTCCTCTATTACTTTTCTGGTGCTCTTTATAGGATGGCTATGGTGAACATGATTTGTTCTCAGGGCCCTCATAATCTCCTCTTTATACACCTCCTTTCTGCTTGCAGTGGAAATGCTATGCTCCTTACACTGGTCCAGTCTAATACACAGAAGGGCTTTTGTCTAAGATTGGCACTCTCTGTGCCTTTACTCAGAACCTGACTCTTGAACAAGACTTCTTTACTCAGTTTGTGTGAAGAAGGGGCAGGAGGTAGAGAGGTGGTGGTGGGGACAGAGGATCTGAAGACCACTTCTCCCTGTGATTCAAGCCTCCCTCTCCTCTTTGTCTACGCTTCAGATCAGCTCATCATGTTCATCTCTGGCTTCATCTCACTGGTTGTTTAAAATTCTCCCCTTAAATCGTCCCCTGTTCCATGCTTTGAATGCTCATCCTGTCTTAGGGGGCACCTCATAGCCAACTTAGGAAAATGTCTTTCTCTGAAGGCTTTCACATAGGACAGTGGTAACTGCCCTGATTCCTGTATATGTTCAAATATTTCGTGGTTTTTACTCAGGGGATTTTCTAGCCTAGTAAGGAAGAAATGAGCAGACTGACAACTGAAAGTGAAGAAGCTTAGGAGGAAGAAATGGTTATCTTCTCTCAGAACTGAATGAAGTTTAAAAATACATTCTGAGAATCTCAGACTTAGACAAGATCATTGTGTCAGCTGCTTGCTGTTTAATTACTTTGTACAGTGAGTGCGGGCTTGCCATGGGTGGGCTCTTTGCAGGTGTTACTGAAATGAAAGCTCAGAGACGAGCTCCACATAGCTCTAGGGCTTTGTTGCTACTGCTGTTACCAGCTGCCTGCTGATTTTGCCAGTCATCTTTAGTGCAGATTACCAAATGTATTTTGAGAGATAAAATTTGCTGGAAAAGAGTTTCAGAAAAATCAGTTTGGAGAAGGGATCAGGAAATGAGAGGAATTGAAATTGTGGTAGTTGCTTTACTAACAGAAAGTTCGGTCTTTTTTTGTGTGTGCGCGCGGAAGGTCAGCCCTGAGCTAACATCCGCTGCCAATCCTCCTCTTTTTGCTGAGGAAGATTGGCCCTGGGCTAACATCCGTGCCCATCTTTTTCTACTTTATATGGGACGCCACCACAGCTTGGCTTGACAAGTGGTGTGTTGGTGCGCGCTCAGGATCCGAACCTGAGAACCCTGGGCCGCCGCAGCGGAGTGCGCGCGCTTAAGCGCTACGCCACCTGGCCGACCCGTGAAGGTTGGGTCTTACCATAAGTTGAAAATTATGAATGTGGGCTTCTGATGGTGACAGACAAAAGCTGAGAGAAAATGGAAGTGAAGGTTTTAGTTGTAATAGCAATAACTTTCTTTTTTTTTTTTTATATTTATATATATATATTTTTTTCCCCCAAAGCCCCAGTAGACAGTTGTATGTCATAGCTGCACGTCCTTCTAGTTGCTGTATGTGGGACGCGGCCTCAGCATGGCCGGAGAAGCCGTGCGTCGGTGCGCGCCCGGGATCTGAACCCGGGCCGCCAGTAGCGGAGTGCGCGCACTTAACCGCTAAGCCACGGGGCCGGCCCAGCAATAACTTTCTGACTGGAATCATTATTAATTTCTGGAACAAGTGCCTTAGAATTATTATAAACTCTTCTTTTTTAGAAACTTCTGAGGTGCCTCTGGGATGAGTTAGAGTGAAGGACTATCTGACGTCAGGTTCATCCCAATCCTGTGTTGATGAAGGATATATCTTTCTTAATAATCACCAGCTCCTTTGGGTTCAAACCAACTTAGAAAAACTATAGTTGGAACAGAATTTATTCTATCAACTAGAGCACATGAACGGGATCCTGTGCAAGTGTGCTCTGAGTAGTTAGACTACATAGACTGAAGATCTGGAGCCTCCCAGATGATAACCTCCCTGTGAAATGGTTATTTGTGTATATTTTTTTCCTATATATTTGATAGTAAGGTCCTTGGGCATAGGTGCTTCATCTAGTTCATCTCTATCCCCCACAGTACCTAAGGCCCTTGATTACTCAATAAATAGGTATAGAGTTCAATTCAATTGTCCTTGATCATGTTTCCCACATATTTTTCCATGACTCCTACTAAGTTTATTTGTTTGAAATATTTAGGTGCATTTAATTTGTCCTCCACTCCCTACCCCTTAGGAAAAGCAATATTTGGGGCAGTATACGTTTGGATAAAGCACTAGTGGCTTTATAGTAGTTTGTTATCTGTTGAGCTCTTCATCCCATTTTACTGTCTTGTAATGTTTTTCCAACTGTGAATTGTGACCATTAGTAGGTGTGTAATTAGCATATTTGGTTTTAATGATATAAAATAGAAACTATGAGAGCGCATCACATATAGTAAGGGTAAGTATTGTGAAATTATTGTTTTAGGAAAATTTATATATATACATCATGTGTGTGTGTATTGCTTCATGTTGTAAAATTTGTTTCATATTGGAGTCATGGTCAAAAAAGTTTTGAATAACTCTGCTTTATTGTAATACTTTGTTATTTCATTTATCATATAGCATTATGCCAGTACATACAGGCTTCTAAAGCCAGGGATGGTGCCAGAGCTTTCATTTCCAGTACGACTGAAGGTAAAAACAAAACAAAATTGAGAACACCCAAAGCTTTCTGATGGCTCTTACATAGGTCTCTCCAGTGGCATTTTGTACCCTTTGACCTTCTAACCTTCTTGTGCCTTTTTTGACCAGTAGATTTTTCATATTTGTATTCCTATAGGTGGTGGGTTCTTTGGTTCTTCCTCTTTTCACTTTAGTGTTCTTATTTCACTGTAATATTTTTAGGAGGGGGAAGAGGGAAACAAAAGAGAATTTCAGAAATTTCAAATGATTCTGGATTGACAAAATAGCTCATTAGATTTACTCTGAAATATGCTTTCTTAATGTTCTTGAATCTTTTAGTCCCTTTGTATTTTTTCAGAGATCGTAGAAATACATACTTTATTCTAAATTTAAAATCATATATGCTTCTATGATGTTATCAATTGACTTTAAGCACACTAAATGTGGCTGTCAGGGGGGAAAAAAAAGATGGACATAATCCTGTATCATTCCTTGTGCTTTCTCCCCTCTCTCCCAAGAAGATTAACTATTGGGTTTTTAGTAATAATTTCATTTTAAAGAAAAGTAAAGATAGCTAGTGGTGTCCAATATTAACCATGCTAAACTTTTTCAGCTTCTTTACTTACCTAATAACTTTAATACTTTTCCTTTTCTTAGGTGATTGGCATACTAACCCCTTTGCCTTTATTTCTGTACCTTGCTGGACTACCAAGCTCAGACATTCATAACCCTGTGATTTCAAGGACTTTGTGGAGATGATTTGCTTCATTCTTTTTCTTGCAGGAGAAAATTTTGAGCAGACACCATTGAGACGAACGTTCAAGTCTAAGGTTCTTGCACGATATCCTGAGAACGTAGAATGGAATCCCTTTGACCAAGACGCAGTGGGAATGCTATGCATGCCCAAAGGGCTGGCGTTCAAGACCCAGGCTGATCCCAGGGAGCCCCAGTTCCATGCCTTTATTATCACAAGGGAGGATGGCTCTCGGACATTTGGGTTTGCCCTCACATT